ATGTATATGTATATGTATATATATGTATATGTATATGTATATGTATGTATATGTATATGTATATATGTATGTATATGTATATATAAAAATAAGCAGTCTCCTTGTTTCAATGAAATGACATAATTATTGACTAAGCTAGAATTTGTACACACCATGCTTCTTTCCATGAAGGATGAGGAAGACCTTGTGGAAAGTGAATTCCGGCAAGCATTTCAGAATGAAAAATTGAAGGGTCATTCACCAAACAATGTGAAAACTAAAACAGATCCTACAGATGACAACAAAGAATTTTTGTTAGTCATCAATGGTTCCTTGAACAAATGTTTTAGAGGTAACCAAACTGAGCTGAATTTGAAAGCTTTAGAAACTGTTGCAGAGATAACATGTCATCACTCGAAGAATTTTCACAATAACTGAAATGAGCATTTTGAGAAAGGGAAGAACTGTGTTGGTTTATTCTATTTTGCCAATGGTTGGTGACAAAGATTTACATTAAAATGGAATCCCAGAGACAAAACACATCACTTCTAATGGTGTGCTTTCCCGAACATTTGATAGTAAATTGTATATCAATATAGTAATTATAGACTTGTATATATTATAGTATGACTTTCAGATTTTTTTATTTCTTTCTATTTTGCCACTTTTATAATCATTTTAAAATAGTTTTTTTTTCCTCTGTTCAAGGTTTCAGACCCATCTTTATTGGATCTCGCAGAAAACGGGAAATTTTGGTTTCAAGACCTGACGAATATTTTGATATAAATGGTGTGATAGGATTATCACACTGGCTGGATTTTACTGTTAAAGATTCTGCACAGTTGCAGGTAAAAACGTATGAAACATTTTACAATTAAGAAGGACAGAATTTTTACATGTGCACATGCACTTTGATGTTTGTAGGACATGCTAGTGCATATTTCTCCTTTCCCGAGAAAGTTTCCTGCAAGAAAAATTTTATTTTAGTTAATTAAAATTAGTTCAAAACAGTTTCTGAATCTTTTTAACTTCAATAAAGCTAAATTTAGCAAAGCTTGTGAACGGATTTACAACTTCTTACAAGCATGTTTTATTTTATAAATTAACCGAAAAACACATGGTTTAGACTATGTTCAAGTAGGCTAAAACCATAGGAATGCAATTTTTTAGACATGTTTAAGATGACTAATATACTTCAGTCTAAAGTAATTATTTTTCAAAGTGAAGATATTTTAAAGGAAATTTAATGTAGCATTTAATTTAATGCAACATCTTACGTAAATATGTACGTTGAATCCTCAAAAGCAACTTTGATGCATCTAATAGAATGTATCGTAAATAACTGATCTAACTCAATAAATTGCATATTTCATAGTTTAGTTAAGAAGTAATTCTACAGTAGAATAGTACAGTCCATATTGACTATAGCACTTCCACAAGAATAATGATGAAATGTATTACAAATATATCTATCACATGTGAACCAAATATACTTTTTTTACTTAAATACGCCCCCCATAGAATTTTTAATCCATTTGTTGAAATTATTGAGGTGACTTCTTTCTAAAACCTCTGTACCTACTAATTATTGTAAAGGTAACTAACAACCATAACATGTTTTTATAATTTTTAAATTTCATTAATTTCTTTATCATCTACTTTTTTCTTTTACGTGGTGGTACTTGATTATTCATTTCATCTATGTGTGAAATATATTTTACGATAGTTCACACAAATACTTTGATAAATCACCATAGTATATAAAAAAGAGAGTTTAAGTAGAATCCTTTGCATTTTTATGCTATGCTTTGGATTTATTGGGCTACATGTTTTCAGTATGCATAGCCATATTTTTTAAACCTTGAAGATAGGTTGGTACAGAATTTAAACTGTGTAGTTAGATATTTTTTTTGAAAACTTCAATGTACAACTTAATTCACTATTATTTTTTCTTTCTTTTCCAGATAAACATACAATATATATACATATAGTACAAATTGATTCGACGTTAATATTAAACTTCACATACGTTTACTACCTTAAACTTAAGTATATTTTTGACAGGCTCGCATATGATTTTTTTTTCATACAGATCTAGAAGACAGTTGTTTTGCTGATAAGGCATATCAATGCCAAATGCACGTTAAATGTAACTAAATGTGAAATCATACATATTCTATGTTATTGCATCCTGGAATTATCTTTTCAGGTAAACTCCAGTGCAGGTCTAGTGTGGTTTTATGATGATGACCTTGGCATGGGAATCCCAGAGTATGAAAACAGCTTAGACCAAAATATTGAACATAAAATTTCTGTGAGATCAGTGTCAAAACTCGTACAACCAAGTGGTTATGAAGCCACATTCCACCCCCATGGCTGTGTGGCACTCTCCAATAATTCTGTTATCTGTGTGGATCCTGTCTATTATGATAAAAAGAGCTGGAGGATGAACAAGAATCAGCTTGATGTAGTAATTAAAGGCTTGAAGAGTAAATTGTATGAACTGAAGGTAAAAAGTAATATTATTAAATGCTTTAAAGTGTGTTTTCATTTGGGTGTCAGTTGTGGTATGCAGGCAGACCATGCATTTTATTTTAATGTCAGAATTTTCAAAATATTTCGTACAGTTTGATCTTATGAATTTTTTGCTTGAACAGGTGTTCCAGAAAACCACTGAGTTAGTTTTGTTCTTTTGTTGTTCTCTTGGTTTGCCTGCAGAGATATTGCTGCAATGTCCTTCAGAGGCAGAGTAGATGATATCTAGAGGTTAATGCTCTAACTATGTTGTATGAGAATATCCACTCACATGTGTAGCACTTCTCATTATGAGTAAATCTAATGTTTCCTGTAAAGTAAGTAGCACTGGATTCACAAAATTCTCCTTAATACGAGTCAACTGATGGAAAGATTACCCTGAGAGAGAAAATCTGTTGAATGTTTCACTGAACTGTTAGGAGATAACAATCCGTTGACTTGAATGAGTACACACAGTGTTTTGTGCTTTGAACATATAAAGATTGATTTTCACTTTATAACACATATCCCATTTGTTTATTTACTAAGCTTAAAACTCTGTCATTATTGAACTTTTCTCTGTGATTATCCTGATTGATCCTCATTATTAAGTGAATCTACATAGCACTCGTGTGGAAATTTGTTTCACCTAAGAATACTACACAATTAAGTATATGAAAAGCAAACATCTGAAAATTTTATAGTGACACCCAGCTTCAAAAGCACTAGTTTTATTATTTGTCTGTTTCTTCTTTTTTAAAAGAAGTTAGAAAATAAGTTGTTCATTGCTTAATTTTTTTCTTCTCGTAATGATTTATTTTTGTGTAACATTGATTGGCAAGCAGAATGAAATTCTGCTGGTACTCATCAGATTTTAGTGCCATTTATTTTTGTAATTCCAAGTGGAGTACAGTTTCTTTCTTGATGCTAGTACTAGGTTCTGTTGTTTGTTGTATTTCTTGGCAGCTCAATTTCAATAATGTATAAAGAGAAGTACTGTTAACTTGCATAAAGCTTGATGTATCATGTACTGTGAAGCCAGATCCTTGAAATGATAAATACTGTGGTCTCCTTTAAGAATAGTTTCACCACTGTTAGCAAGTAAAATCCTAAGAAGACAAATTAATCAATCAATTGTGTATACAAAATAATGATATAATGTTAATATTGATAAAAAACAAATTCTCATAGAAACTAAAGTTATTTTAATACTGCACAAACAAGTGAATGGCAATGATGTTCTTCATTGGCAGAGCAGTGACCAGGCTTGTATTATGTTGATTTTTCATTTGATTGAGATGCAATGAATCATGAAGTTTTTTCGAATACTTAAGGGACTTCGACGTCAACTCCAAAAGAAGCGACCCCCAACTGGTGATGAAAGTAGTGGGTACTTCACCCAAGTAAAGGATTATCCAGTAACCAGTGGCCGAAGGTGTCACTGTGATGATGAAGAGTAAGTTAGAAAATCATTGAAATATTTATTTGTATATTTAGCTTTAATGTGATACTAATCTGAAATGGAAGTGTTCATTTAGAAGTTCAAAAGCCCTGAAACTAATCATTGGAAGTTACGAGTGTGACATCAGTGTGTTTAGCTTTGTTGCCATGATTAATAGTAACCTATGTGATCATCTAAGTTTAATTATTCATTAGTGTCTATCATATATTTTGCTAATCTTATGCTGGAGGTACAGGCAAGGATTCAGTCCTGGGTATTCTTGTTAGAAAGGCTGGTGTGTTATCCAGTTGATTGGGGTCTCCCCCATTAGAGTTTTAATCAAATAACTAAATTATTTCAATGATGGTACCCAGGTTTTGTTAATTTCGATGCTAGGTTGAATGAGTATGTTATAAGTTAGGTAGATGTAGGAAGCTTCTTTTAAACTTTTTTTTTGTTTTCTTGTGGTTTATATCCTATAATTTTCATATTACATTTTATTATAAAGTTTTCTTCTCTTGAATGCTGGACTATTGCATATGGACTGGTATTACAGAGTTTTGCTTGCCTATTATGTTCCTGAATGTCTGATAATAGTTTCGTTTTCTCAATTTATTGGAGTTTACACTAACAAGGAATGTTGTAAATGGTGTTTTGCTCTCCATTAGGTCTTTATGTGGTTGATATGTACTACTATGATGAAAATGTATTGTGGCTTCTAATTGTTTTTGGAAAAACCTTTGAGGGGAATATGCTTAAAAATTACAGATGTCTCTCCAATATGGTACATTACCTCCTCTCGTTCAGTGATGCCCTCTATATGCAAACATTTTTTCACATGCCACAAGCCTTGAACTCCCACGATGAATGTTGTTCAACTGTGTCTCACATGCAAGTCATTATGCGACAACCCTCCACCCTATCACTTCTTATTGCTAATGATTGAGTGCAGACTTTTTTAATTGTGCTCTTTTTACATGTTTATTTAATTTTTTTTGTGAAGTAGTGATTTAAATGGTTTATTCATTTGCTATAGTTAGTTTTTCTGTTGTAGCTTGCCTCAATAACTTACCTTTGTTTATTGATTTTTTTCTCTTCTCATTTTTGACTTCATGGTTTAAGATGAATTCCAAAGTTTTTGTTTGACAACTTCTTATATTATCACTGCTATTTGAGTGCCAGAACTTTCTTCAGACTTGGTGGTCTCGACTGAGGATTTCTCAACTATCATTCATCAGATGTTTCCTTTTTCTCCCGACCATGTTCGGATTCCTCCTGCATTGTCCAAACCTGTTCATGATGAGGAGGATTTTGATAGTTTTTTTCCATCCTCCTATCTATGCTGTGCCTTCCCATGCATCTCCTATGAGATATACTAGGCCTAACTCTGCCTTTTTGGATATGCTTTGTGAGGTGTGTTCCTTTTTTTTTTAAATACACAACACCTATCATTAGGGTCCCTTGTTTTCCATCCTTTCTGTGACATCTGGGTGGGTTCATACTGAGCATTTCATTTCTCAGTTGAGGACTGATTTTAGCATGCCTTGTCCTCTATGGCATTCTGATCTTTGTTTTGGCTTATCAGGAAGCTGTTGAACCCTTTCTCGTCTTCCAGCAGTTGGAGTCACTTTTGACAATGTAGGGAGCTGTTTGTGATAATCCTCTCCATTTTTTCCCACCTTTGTCTTACCCTTACATCTCTCCTGCAGTACTTGTCCAACATATACCTCCTTTCTGAGGCACTCCACCAATCCTCTGAGGGTTTTTCGAGGGATACACTTTCTCTCCCTTGGTGCCATTGTCCCATTCAGTCCTATCCCATCACACGTGTGTGTGTATGTGTTTTTTTTTTTTGCTGTTGGGATTATATTGGGAAGGATGCTCTCTTTTCACAGATTCAGCTACCCTCCCCTTAGCTTTGTGATTACTGGATGGCTCCTTTTCTCCATCTTGGAGATTTTCCAGAGTCTCTGGAATCGCTTGTGGACTCTTAGCCCACATTTGACCCTTTAGTCTTTGGTTACTCGTTTTTCTCATTCTGATACCATGAACTCTCCCATAACTGTTTCTCATCCTGCAACCTCCAGTCCTTTTACTAGGGTACGAATTTTGCTGTCTCGAAGTTGGGTTCATTGTTGCCAACTGTTTCAGTGACTTTCCAGGCTGATTTGGGGGGGGGGGGGCATGTTTGGCCGATTTTGTTCCCCTGTGGTGTGTATTCACTACTGATTTTTGGGTGATTTAAGTTTTGTCAGAAGGATTTTTTATTCTCTTCCTTTCCCATCCTGTACCGCTTTCCTTCCCATTAACTCAGGATCCAGCTGTCTGTCCGAGTCTATCCAAGGTTGTGCTGACCCTTCTGACACAGAGAGCTATCAAGCCTGTCAGCCAACCCTCATGTTAATGTGTATCTTACTACTCTGGTGGTAACATTCACACATTGTACTTACAACTAGTTCATTGACAAAATCTTTACTGAATTGTTTTGTATCACATAAAAAGTGTATTCTGAGTTACTTAATATCACATCTGGAGCATCTTGGCTTTCCATCTAGAGCACTTTTATTATCAATAGTACTAGTTTCATGTAATAACTCCTTCAGAGTTTTCATACAGACCCTAGTGGCACAGCGGTATATCTGGAGACTTACAATGCTAGAAACCGGGTTTCGATACCCGTGGTGGCAGAGCACAGATAGCCCATTGTGTAGCTTTGTGCTGAACTTCAAACAAACAAGCTATCAACACATGACTGTATCTTGGTACAGTTAGTTTTTATACAGTAGGGGGGGGGGCAATCACATTATATTTGCTTTTCATACTCATTAATTGTTTCTTCAGTTATTTTAGTACTGTATATACGTGAATAAGAAAAAGTTAATATTAACAGTGAAATATTTACAAAGATCAATTGGGCTTAACTTCACGTTGAAAAGAAAATTGAATAAAGTTTATCTCATTTCCAGTTTTTTACATTAGTAGTCACTTTTCCATAGTAAATTTGAAAATTGTGTTAAATGCATGGGTTACTTACAGTGCGAATATGAAATATTGGTTTATCTGTCAGGTAAGAAGTACCCAAAAAATGATTTATTTAGAAATCCTGAATTACTAATTAGGTGAATAGGATTATTTTTAAAATAAAATTTTAAAAAATTATTCTCATTTTTTTTTCTCTAACTGGTATTGCAAAAAAAAATGTATAATGGAAAACTAAACTGCCCATGGGGTAGAAAAAATATTTCATTTAAACCTTTCATTAACATAAGATAATGATGCACATTATACTAAGCAGAATATTATTCACATGTTAGGTTTGTATCATTGCATTCTTGGCCATTTTGTGAGTTTTATTAACAATTAAATATTTTTTATGTTACATAAAAGGCTAATACAGAACATAGTGACTTTTAAAATGGGCATAGAGTGATTATTATGTGTGTATTGCAGCTTTGCTCTTAAAACAATCATATGTATACAAGTTAACTTGATGAACTACCAACTTTAATGATGTAGTCTACCTCTGCACAGAGAACAACATAGTTTGAAAGCGTGGAGAACAGGACAGCGTGAAGCTCGAAGAGTTGCTCGCCAGCAAAAACAAGAAGCTCGTTTGAAGAAAAAAGAAAAAAAGAATCGACGTAAAGCCAAGTATAAGGGATTTGAATGTAATGCTGCAAAGATGAATTGTTTTACCCATGATGATAAACATTGGAAAACACCACCCTACTGGACTTGTAAGAATTTATTTACTAATCAGTAAAGTGTTAAAATTAGTGCAGAAAATATTTCAAGTGCATCATTTAACTACTACGTACAATTTATAGTAATTTTTTAGATGCACGGTATTTGAATTCTTTCAGTATTCACTAAATTTGTGTTCAAATCATATTTTCTTAATGTAATAGTGTTAAAGGTATTGCAATGTTTCAAATTTTTCTCCAACAGATGGCCCTTTTTGCTTCTGCCAGAACTCAAATAACAATACGTACTGGTGTTTACGGACCATTAATTCCACACACAACTTCCTGTATTGTGAATTTGTAACTGGTTTTATTATTTACTTTGATCTCCGTTCGGATCCTTACCAGGTAACGATAACATTTATGGACTTAACTTTGTGGTAGTACAGTATACATGAAAAAAAAAAAGTGGGCATTTGTGTAGTTAATGTTCAATATTTTTACTGTTGACTGAATTACATGATATTTTATTATTAATGCCATCATATACATATTGAGAGATATTTAAATGCTGGGATTAGTTTTGGTACATTTTTGTATTAAGTTGTTTGCAGAATTTTAACCTCAAAATCTGCTTCACTACTGTAAGGTTACATAAAGACAGTGGTTTCCAACCTTTTTGACTGAAGCATCCTTATACTGTTTGTTGTTGATCTGTTGAACTGATACTGTATTGGAGAGGTAATGTTTACTGTAATTCTGAATTTATTAAATTCCACCAAATATATTAAGCTTTTAGTAAACATTATCCCTATCTCGAGGGGTCACGTGTCAAAGGCCATGTCATTGCGTTTGTTGATTTTCATTCAAAATTTTATTGAACTACTATTTTATGAATCTATGTCAATAAGTTTGGTATCAAATTGTAGTATTACACTACTTAATTTCTTAAATTAGAAGTAAATATTAAAAAACACAGCTAAACATCGATTTTTGTGTGTCATGTGGTATGTTGAATGCAGTACTGGTTCAAATTAGATGTTGGTGAGGTCAAAATACAAGATATACAGTGTCGTACAAATTAGGAACTCAAACTACCAACATTGACAAGCTAGAATATAAAATAAGAATGTCTTATCTTTTCTATTTCTCAAGAAATTGCTCCTGTACTGAATCAAACACGGTGGCCCCTTCACCCACCTATTTCCATTTTTGGAAACAGTCCCTTATATACACTTACTTCTATATATGACATGAATAACCAATCAAAAGCTCAGAATGTTCCCTAGTAGTTTGCTCAGCCATTTTGACATGTTATTATGCTAATTTCATTCTTTTCACATGATTTCAAATGATGAGGTAAGTATTTAGTGAACTCGAAATTTCATATTTTTTTTTAGAACCAAATACAGCTTAGTTACTGCACTTGATAAATTATAGTGGAATTCTATGGTATCAATATAGTAATTTA